CGAACAGTGGTGGGGTTTACCTGAGTCTGGAAGGAATCTGTCAGCATTAAAGACTTTTAGCCCTGAGGCTTTTAGCCCGGCAGGCCCGTTTAAAGCCCTGGCTAGCACTGACATGAAGGTGAAAACGCAGCTAATGTGAACTTAAACGTGCCAAGCCGAGCTCTCTCCCTACAAGAGAGTATATCCTGATAATCACTTTTACTTAATCCTGGATATACAAAGCCAGGTACATATGATGCAAGGCTTTTTCCTTTTACATACCGTATGGCTGCTACCTGATCCTTCTCTTCATAGAAAAGGAAAAAGAGACAGATCCCTTTATTTGTTTGGCAGACTGACAGACCATATTGGTGTAAATAGATCAAGGATCATTACTGAGTGCAGAAAGGGCAAAAGGGCTAATAATAGCCCGATTCAGAGAATCTCTCTTCTTAATGGGAGAGCTTGAGGTTTAAGAAGGGCAATGCTTCAAAGAATTTGCATTGGGTGGTTGGCATATCATTTGTTAACTTTTTTGTATTTGGGTGATTCTCATGAAAGCTTGGTTTTAAAAATTTCAAACATGAAAATTTTAAAAATGCTAGAATTAACAAAACAAGAATTCAGACATTAGAAACAAAGTCGGGAGAATTTGTGAACATTCATTTAAAAACATTTACTTACAATTTAAGACCTTTTTGAGCACAATTTCCAAAACAAGTGTTAAAAAATATAATTACCGCAACAGTGTGAAAACATCAACACTATTTAGAAAATAAAATACATTTTCACATTTTAAAAAATGGATTATTAACAGTCATGCATAGTTACTTGGAAATCTGAAATAATATTTAATTTTAAATTAGCATTATTTAATTTTTTGTTTAATTTCTCTCATTACCGCAACACCTTCCACAATTTACAACCTTTTATATAAAAATGATATGACAAACCTGAAAGAATATAATGTTTAGATACTGTACATGCATTTAAAATCATGCTACAAATTTACATTTTATGATTATCTGCTGCGGTAATGGAAATGAGGTTGATTATTTCGGTAATGATAATAACTTTACTAGATTTAATGTTGAAAAAATTATAATATATGCAAAATCATGGATTCAATTTCAAATCTGTTCAATACATAACATTAGCAACAGCAACAAAAAATACAAAAATAACTTTAATATTCGTAAAACAATAACTTACAGTATAACTTTAATATTTGTCAAAGTGTTTCAGAGAGGGAAAAACCTCTTCATAACTAGGTAAATGCCTACTGTTGGAAACATTTGTCTATGTATACACCTGGCTGCACAGAATAGATGACTAGGAGATGAATGAGAGGAAAATATTGCCAAAAAAGAAGAGGAGAAAGTATTTACAACATAAAAAAATTAGTTTTTACTAAATCTTTCTTTTTAACAAATGTAGAGGGAATAGTATAGCTGTTCTTGAATATGGAGAAACATGAAATAACATACACACATCCACTACATTACATGAGCTTGGCATTTACAATAACTTTTTTTCGGTTTGGTAGGCTAACTGGATAAATAGTCTAATTCTTAGGATAAGGAGAAAAAGAAATGGGGAATCATTGCACAAATGTAATTGTGCCATCCACTGTAAAACCTAATATGTACAGTACTAAATAGAATTGAGTTCACTGCACTCAAATATTACTGAAACTTGAATGACTGAAACAGTACTCAAACTGAACGAGTTATAGAACATTTCTAGATACCAAAATGATAATTGAATAATAATTGTATAATTAAGTGATGATTGAGCATTAGTGATGAACACCTGCTGTTAACAAGCAGAATCACCGAAGAAAAGAGAAATACAAGAACTACAACTGACTTTCAGCCACAGCCAGATGAAATCAACTGAAGATAAAAGGTGTTAAATCTCTGAAGAACTCAGCAGAGGAGGATTAAACAACTCCACAAACAGCATTACCAGCTTCACTTTTTATTAAAAAGTTTGACTTTACTACTGCTACTCGTCTACAGAAGTTCTTATTAGAAATAACATAGGTTTAGAAGTTGATGATTTGAGTTTTGTTTAAGGTCACCATGATGGAGATCAGCGTTTGCTTTAGTTGTGCTCTTGTCCCTTGACTTTTGCATACAATTTTTTCTTTGGCTGCTGTAACTTGAGTGTTTATAAAGCAAATATGGCACAAAAGTCAAGGAAAAGTATGAACGGGTGTTGATTGTTAAAGCTTCATGAAGACAATCATCATTTAGAGACTTGTTTCACTGATCTCATTTAGAGACTAATCTCTGATTAAAAGGGCATCATTACAATTGTTTTATTCAAAACTGTGAGTCAACAAGCGAGACTGTTGTGACCATCAGATATTGTGAAAGACTTTACAAACAGTTTGTGCAAAAAAAAAAGTTTCACAGAAAATGTATTGAATTACCAAGACTCACACAGACATCAAGAATCAGCATATAAATCTCTACAATGGTGACTATTAAAAATATGACTCTTGATGCAATGCATGTTGGGTACTAGCATTATACAAAACTTATCCATGGCTCCCAGCATGAATTATTTTTGAATAGTCACCATTGTTGAGATTCATATGATGATTCTTGATGTTTGTGTAAGTCAGCATACCATATGGATTTTTTAAATCTGATTGTCACAACAATGGACCTTACAGTAGAATCACAGTTCTACTATAATGTGTAACACAAGTTATACATCACCTGTTTATTCAGAGATTATGCTCTGAAAAGATCAGGGAATCAAGTCACTAATTGATGATTTTCATCACAAACGCAACCATCAACACATGATCATATTTCTTTTTGTGCTATAACAAATGTGTTTTATAAACACTCAGTTCCAACAGCCAGAGAAAATCTGGTGTTATAAAGTCAAGGGTCAAGAGCTAAACTAAAGCAAACACTGAGCACTATCATGGTGTCTTTAAATGAAACAATACATCATCTTCGTCATCAAAAATCATCTAAGCCTCTGTTCATTCTCAATTGCAACTTATGTAGATGTCTGACAGAAATAAAGCCAATCTAGTCAGTAATAAGTGAAGCTGGTAATGCTGTTTGTGGAGCTGTTTAATCCTCCTCTGCTGAGATCTTTAGAGATTTAATATCATCTTTTATCTTCAGTTGATTTCATCTAAGACTGTGTCTGAAGACAGTTGTACTTCTTGTGTTTCTCTTTCCTTCTGTGATTCTGCTTGTTAATGGCAGGTGTTCATCACTAATGCCCAATAATCACTTAATTAATCACTTAATTCTTGACTGCAATGTATATCTACTTTTAGTGAACTCAACTGAAATAATTTCAGAGTAGTCATAACTATTGTTTTTATCAACTTAATTGAATTGAGGCAATCGGATTCCTCAAATGAAATGAGTTAGCTCATTTTACTTTCTGTGTGATAATGTGAGCTCATTTTGAGTTCATTTAAAGTTTGTTATTTCACTGTTTTTACTCAGTATAGTGAAGTTTCAGCTATATAAAGTATTTAAATGCAGTGTAGTTTAATTGTGTATTAAGAAATATTGTTTTAGCGGACTTGATTAAAATGAGTACTTGTTTTTTATAAACTTAATTGAATTGAGGCAATCCGTTTCCTCAAATGAAATGACTTAGCTTAACTTGTTGGGTTTTACAGTGAACAGAAGCGTAGATCTAACGAAAGTTTTCAGGAACAGGAATACTATCAACTATACTTATAACAATATTATTAATTAAAACCATTGAATTTTTTAAAAGTGTTTTAATAAAATTAATGACAGACTGCAGTGGATTTATTTATTTATATAGCCCTGTTATTGCAGTGTCTAAAAGGCAGTGTATGTGTGGGTGTATCTCCTAGCACTGTTTATTGCTGATTATACCTGCAACATCTCCAAATCTAACCTCTCTCTCTCCTTTCTTCTGTTCTCCTCAAGCAGTTCTGGGTTTCTGTATAATTTTTCCCTGAAATTTGTCAACCTAGCTAAAACTTTTTTTCTCATTGGCTGACTGCCTACAATGAAACAAACCATGAAGCAAAATATCAACAGTTAGAAAAAAAATAAATTCATATTAAATCCATGAGATATATTTAAAAGTAGTACACAATGATTGCATTCTCATTTCCGAAACAGAAGTTCTCTCTACCGAAACTGGCCTTAAATGGTTGCAGTATGAGAATGGTGTTTCGGAGGATGAGGCGACTTGGTATGTTTTGCTAACAATAGAGAATCTATTGACTTGATACTCAGTGTGTATAATTAGACAATAATGAAGTACAATTTTATAAAAAAAATTGTAAATCTAACAATTTTCTAAATGAAGAAAACTTCTTGTTTCGGAAATGATAATCAATATGTCGTGCACACATTCTGACAAGTGAATATTTTACATTTAATTGGAGAAATATAAAGAGATCGTCTTACCTGGAACTGGCCCATGTGCTTCTTTAATCAAAATCAAACTTTATTTAAATTCAGAATGTGCGTTTTAACAGTCCTCAAAAAATGTTTTGGAATAACTTAATTATTCCAAACTTTTGACCAGCAGTGAATACATTTATAAATGCTTCATTTTCAGCAGCTAGGAATCAGTATAGGTCTGGTGTCAAATTATACGTTTTTCCACAAATCTAAGGATCTAAGCATGTCCAAGGACTGCATCTTCCCATACTGTCTGGGCCCAATGAACACACATGCGCTGGTGATGGTGGTGGTGCATTAGATCAGAAACACCATCGGTCTAATCGACCGACGGATGTGACAAATATTTTGTCATGTGCCAACACTTTCACCATGGGAGAAAACTGAGGTGTTTGGCTATGACTGGATTGTCTAACATAAAATGATCAGGGTGGGGATTTGCAGGTTAAGGAAGCTTAGGGGTTTAATGTCATGACGTCACTTTAATTAGCGGCCGCTTTGATCCCTTCAGCCTGTAAGCCACTATTCTCTGGAGGAGACCAGCACTGGAGGATGCACCTGTCTGAAGCAGGCCACTGACAAGCTTCACTTTCCACCCTGACATCCCACAAGTAATGAATCTGTGAGAGGACGAGCACAGAAGCGCACTTCAAAATGGCAGACAAGGATAGTGTGGAAAAGTACTTGGAGAATAACCCCCAGTTCGCCAAAGAGTATTTTGAGAAGAAAATCCGATGCGAGGCCATCGCCGCCGCTTTTTCCGAGAACCTTGACATCAAAGATCCGTCCTCGTTCAAGGATGTCAGCCAAATCCAGGAGGCCAACATTATCTTCGACATGGTCAAAGACATGCATTCGCAGCCCGTTATGGAAAAGGCCATGCACAAGGTCCTGCAGAGGATATGTATGCTGGTGAACGCCGACCGCTGCAGCTATTTCATAAACCGAGCGAGAAATGGCATCCCTGAGCTCGCTACGTGTCTTTTCGACATCACCCCTACCTCGAAATACGAGGCCAACCTGGTCAACCCTCAGTCTGAAATTGTGTTCCCTACTGACATTGGCATAGTTGGCCAAGTAGCAACCACGAAAAAATCAGCTAATGTTCCCGATGTCAAACAGGTGAGTAAAGTAAAGTTCTCTCATTGCTCCCCTAGTTATTCTTTTCTGTAATTACACTCTGCAAATAACAAATGTGTTAAACACAAACACAATAAATCCAACAGCATACATTGAAAGAGAATTTTTAAAAAAAAAAAGATTAAAAAAAATTAATTGATAACAAAAAAAAATTGTATATCATCTATACACAGTTCATGGAATATTTTTTTTCCCTTAAATGTTTGTGTTTTAAATGTTACTACCTTGTTCAGAACGGTCAGAGAACACACAAAAGTAACGTTCCCATAATGTTTGCAAAATGATAAAATGGAATATTCACTTAATAAACTGAATAACCAAGAAAAACGTTTTTAAACTTAAAAAAAAAACCTTGACATTTTGAAACAAAGTTTTCATAACTTAAAACATTATAGCAAACCGTTTTTGGGACATTTTGGTAGCTGGGTTAATATATATTGCCGGCACTTCAAAGAGTTCATTTTTAGTAATTTTTAAATGCCAAAAATCTTGAAGCAACTTTTTTGTTTGGTGTAAAAACAAATTCAACCTCTTTGTTTTGCATTAAGACCATGTAATTTTATGTCCAGCCAATTCAATTTCCTGTAAACCCTTTAGTGTTTTTTTAAATAGCATTTAGTGATATGTAAATTGTGTTAATTGTGAAAAAGCAGTGTTTTATATTCCTAATAAATTATGATGTACGCAGATAATACACCCTAAACATATTATGTGGTAACATATTAAAAAAAAAGTTTTTATTGTAGTCAAAAATATTATTATAATATTACCCAGATTACACTAGGTTACAGCAGTGAAAGTCATTAGTAGTTCAGGGAGACAGAGCTCCTCAAGCAAGCCACAACTGATAAAAAATGAACATAATTAAAGATAGGATACTTTCATGTGTTATATACTAGCTTTGTGTTTAATCATTGTACATTCACTGGGGGTGCAACCTCAGCTTAAGTGTTCAGGACAGGGTTAAATGTATTAACCTTTGTTACATAACACAGAAGTGTAGGCTAAATTTAGGCGGACGATAACTATAAAGATAAAGATATCGTTCTAAAAATCATTCTCAATATTAAAGAATAGCAGAGTTCACACCACATCTTATAACTATAACGGCACAGAGAAACAATATCTCTGGAATCACTATCAGAACGATTTTATCCAGCTGATCAAAGAGTATAGAAGAACAAATACTGCCATTTTGGGGTAAAGATTCCAAGTTCCAACTGGAGTTACTGGACAAACTCACTGTTGCTCACCCAAAATTAGAGAATCTCCCAGGCAAATCAGAATGGCAATAGAACAATTCTTAAATTAAATACATCATTAAATACACAAGGTAGTGTTTTTCTTGCATTATTGAGTTTTTCCATTTTATGCAACTTTACACATTTACTACTAGGCTATTATTAGCCTAGTTACCAACTCCACTAGGCCTGAAATAGATTTTGTACGTTTTAATTCCCTGGATCATGCTACAAACTCGATGATCTTATAGAACATGATGTATTGCCGTGTCTGTTATCCTATAATTACTACCTGGACAGTGGCTGTATTTTTTTTTTTTTTTATACATAGTCTTGCTTAAATGCTCATGAATGTAAGATAGTAGCCTACTGCAAAAAAAAAAAAAAAGTTTACTGTAAAGCTATTTTATTACTGTTATATAGGCTATTTATTTAACAACATTCCCAATTATCTGATATAGTCCTTTACTTAAATTTATGTTGGTAATAATTCAGTGTTTGTAATGCTAATACTAAAGGTTTTGTGGGTAAAGAGTAGAAAACTTGTGTACGTGGAGTAGCCTACCTTTTTCACAGCTTTATCATAATGATATTCGATTCTGTCGAAATACATATTTAAATAATTTTTAAATATGCCTGACATGAATGCAGATGTAGGCAGGTTAGGTAGACTAACAGTTAGTTACTGTCTAAAATGGTGGAGGGGTTATTTCGTAGTAGGTAAGTAGCTTAAGTTAACCAATATTTGAACCATTTTTTCAACGAATACAACACTTTCCTGTCTTTGTTCCTTAGAACCCCAGATTCAGTGACTTTGTGGACAAGCAGACAGGATACACCACTAAAAACATGATGATTGCGCCTCTCATGAACGGGAAAGACGTGCTTGGTGTGGTTACGGCATTAAATAAAGTTGGAGCAAATGAATTCTCTAAAGCAGACGAAGACGTAAGTATGCTATAGCAACTTGAAATATGACATCAAACAGTTTTTTTTTTTACATTCATACATTCACAATGGGTCTACAGATGTAAAGCAGAAATCAGTGTGATACTGACCTCAATATTTGTGCTGAATCGGCATGACCAGATTGTTAACGTTTTCTGGGTGCAGTTAAATTGCGATTTAATCAAACAATTTCGATTATGGGAGGCACTTCCGGTTTCACTCAAAAAGACTCAAACAAATCCTTTTATTTAATAAAGTTGCGCTACAAACAATCAGTCAGTTTGACCGAATGAGCTGTAAAATTTGTTCAATTTTCAAATGTCAGGAGAATAAAATGCTTGTTCCTTGTCAGAATGTTCCAGTTAAAGAACATTATTGTTTAAAGGAGTAGTTCAATTTAAAAAAAAAAAAAACTTTTGCTGATAATTTACTCACCCCCATGTCATCCAAGATGTCCACGTCTTTCTTTCTAAGAAATTAAGGTTTTTGATGAAAACATTCCAGGATTTTTTCCATATAATGGACTTCATTGGGTGCCAAATGGCTCAAGGTCCAAATGAGAGTTTCAGTGCAGCTTCAAAGGGCTTTAAACGACACCAGACGATGAATAAGGGTCTTATAGGACCCAAGGGACCCTTCGAGTCATGTAACAGGAGAGTCAATAACGCTCATCACAGAACAGAGCAAGGTGAGCATTTGTGCTTATAATACTTAAACTTTTTAATTTATTTTTTAAATGACCGATCATTTCGCTAGATAAGACCCTTATTCATCGTCTGGTGTCGTTTAAAGCCCTTTGAAGCTGCACTGAAACTCTCATTTGGACCGTTTGGTTCCCATTGAAGTTCATTATATGGAGAAAATCCTGGAATGTTTTCATCAAAAACCTTAATTTCTTTTCAACTGAAGAAAGAAAGACATGGACATCTTGGATGACATGGGGGTGAGTAAATTATCAGCACATTTTTTTTTTTTTTCCAAAGTGAACTACTCCTTTAAGGCAAACTATTTTGCATAATAGCCTACAGACTCATCTGGAAAACGTCTGCTCTGTACAAACATCTGATAAACATCCTAAAAGTCAGTTTTACATACATTCTAAATCATAAACATCATAAAGACGTTTTCTAAATGTCTATTTAACATCTGACAGGAAATGTCTTAAGAGACGTTTTAGCAAAAATTATATCTTGCAGATCAAATAGACATGTCCGAGATATTTGTGTGCTATCAGGGGATGGGCCGTAGGTGGAATATGAATCTACACCATTGGGAGTTCTCCACACAGATTTCGCCAGTATTCAAGTAACCAACAGAAAGCTTTTGAAGCCATTTGAATAATGTGTGAACATTGCCTCATACATCTCTATGCTAACTGACAATGAGCATCCCTTTAGGACCTAAAAAGTCACCCTGAAATAGAAATTGCCATAGTCTTCCATGTTGCGATGAGTGAAACGACTTGTTGAACAAGAAAAAAAATGTATGGCAGGACTTGATTTTGTCCATCTGGAATTGATTTGATGATTGGTCGATCTCAAGTGAGTGACAGGTTGTCCCGCCCTCATGCCAGTAATCACGTCATCAGAGAAGAGACGTCGCTGCAAGAGGAAGGGGAAGTTATTTGGATTAAAGATTATGAGGGCAGGGCACATTCATTCACATTCACATAATACAATAATGATGTGCACAGAGAAATTATTTATAAAAAAAAAACACTGCAATAGTCCATAAAATGGATTCAATTTTGATTTTAATGTTGACTAAGTAAATGTGTTACTCATGTTTTTCAGCTCTTCACCAAGTACATCATTTTCGCCACAGTCATCGCCCTACAGCACTACACTGCATACATGTATAATGTGGAATCTAGAAGAAGCCAGGTAATGCTGTGGCACCTAATGATACTACAGCACCTAATGATGTTTGACTGTGTTTTGAATCTTGATTCTGACTGTAAAGTGCCACCACAGGTTCTTCTGTGGTCTGCCAGCAAAGTCTTTGAAGAGTTGACAGACATCGAGCGACAGTTTCACAAGGCCCTGTACACCGTCAGGACCTATCTCCTGTGTGAGAGGTACTCTGTCGGCCTCCTGGACATGACCAAAGAAAAGGTTTGTGACATCTGGTGAACATCCTCCATTTGGTCATTGATCAGTTCATAAAACGCTCGACTTTGCTTTTTGATTGTTTAGGAATTCTATGATGAGTGGCCGATTAAACTGGGAGACGTGGAGCCATACAAAGGGCCGAAGACGCCTGACGGCAGGGTAACACATTTTTTTTTTCTCTTTGGTAAACAAGTCGGTATTACTGGCTAGTAGAATTATTATAAACTTATTGTTTCTTCTAACAGGAAGTCATCTTTTACAAGATCATTGATTATCTACTAGAAGGCAAAGAAGAGATCAAAGTCATACCGTAAGCATAATTATTTAATGCATTAAAAGAACATTAATCATATTATGAAAAATCACACCCATAAGTCATACGCTACATGGGACAAACTACATTTTCTAACGAGCTTGGCTAATCAGAATTGTGCACAAGGCCTGAACCAGACCTTTTGGATGAACTTTATTGATTGACCAATAATTATTCAGATTTAAAAGCATTTTTCAGAGAGTTTAAAATCATGGGTGACACTAAGTAGTTAATTACTATAATAATCACTTTTCCATTGAAAAAGTAAAGTATGGTATTACTCTTCCTTTTTTCTTATATTACTTCTTAAGTAATTACAGTTAATTCTATAAAACAATAGTGGATTTAACATCATCTGATGTTAAAATATGTTTGTAATGTAACCTTCTCCCTTTAAATGCTTTGGTCAGTTCAAGAATAACTATTAAGACTATAAGACTATAAGAATAACTAACTATGAGAATAACTACTTGAATAACTAAGAATAATTCATAAAAAATTTCTATAATTTATTTGAAATAATTAAAGAGCGGTTCCATGTTTATGCTTGTGTTGTTCAACTAGAAAGTAATTTATAATAAGTAATGCATTACTTTTTAGAGAGAGTAATTAGGAAAGTAATCAAATTACACTGTCGAAGGTGTAATTAGTGGATAGTAATTAATTCAATTTTAGAGTAAGACCGCTTATGAGATGCACATAATATTTGCTGCAGACACTCAGTTTAAAAGACTAAAATAGTGCTGTTAGCAGGGATTTCATAACAAAATAACCATAAACAGGAATAAGCTAATTGGCTTTAGCTCCTCTGCCATTATTGGACAAATTGATTAATTCAGGTGTGCCTGACCTCAGTAGTCATGGCAACAATAATCAGACACACCTGAATTAATCAAGTTTGTCCAATAATGCTAGACAGGAGACAAGGAGCTGGCTTACGTTCAGGAAGTAGTGCAGTTGTGCATAATGCCAATTGGAAAGAGACTCTAATGTAATGCTTTTACTGTTTGCTTTGTTGCTTCTAACAATGTCGGGAGAGCCAGGACACATGGGCATTTCTTCTCTCTTTCATTTTATCAAGTTATTAGTAAACGCAGTTAAGCTTACAACCAAAGTCCCTTTAAGGCAAGTCATTTCACTCGGCGGCCATCTTTGAAATACCTCTTGCCTCAGCTATTTCAGTCATGCAAGTACAGTTCCTATCTTTTTGAATGGGGAAACATCAACTTCTTCAAAATCTGTACTCCAAGCTTATGATTAAATTTCATATTTAAATCTGTTTGGACTTCTAACGGATGCTGTAGTGACGTGATGACTTTACCAATTAGCGACTTTTATTTAGATGGTCGCACTTATTCCGCCATATTGTGCATTGCACTGTCTCCTTTTCATAATAAAAGTGCACAGTCTTTGTATATCTAAAGACTTTGTTTCAACACAGTTTAGAGACAAAGATTAGCAACCAAAACACTCAAATCTCTAGAGTGAATGGCCAACTAATACTTATTCCTGGGTTTACATTCAATACTTTAAATTGTACTTTTAAACAAGTGATTACATTTATGCAAAGTTGATTGACTGGCTTTATTTATGTTCTTAATTTTAAGACATTAGACTGTTTTTAATATTGTTGTTGCTGCTGGTGTTATTTAAAGCTACACTATGTAACTCTTTTAGTTTATTCTTAGCTAAAAACAATTAATTCTTTCAAAATATATATGTGCTCATTAATGTACATTTACTTCGTTCAAGTAATAAAGTATTCTCGTGAGTGTATAATATGCCATTGAAAATACATGCGGGTAAGGGGTTCTAATGTCGCTCGCCATGTTGCCCCTCCGTCTTGAATGTACATTAGCCAAAGAGGGACATACCCGTTAATTCAAGCTTCGCCTTTCGCGTTTACGTTTGAGTTAACACTAATGGACGAGGTCGAACTGGAATCCATGTTAATCTTGCACTACATTGTCCACCGTAGGAGTTAAAACGAAATCGGAATTGAGAGTAACAGAAACTAATATTCACTGGATGGTCATATACCTTTTCACCGCTAGATGGGGATAAAAATCACACAGTGTATCCAGTAAGGGTTAATGCCCGACGAGGTGTCCATTGTCAGGTTTTAATGGACGACGGCGAGGCGTAAACCGGCCGACGCGCAGCGAAGGACGGTTGCCTCCGCCGAAGTCCATTAAAACCTGACAATGGACACCTCGGAGGGCATTAACCCGCTTATACCATGGTCACTTGCCAAATAAAACATTTTTAAAACATTAGTTTATATTTAATTAGGCTAAATCTAGTTTTTACAAATAATAACTTGACTGACTGTTTATCTAACAACCGGAGATATTTATAGTCCGCTTAGCTCGTATCCCTTCAGGTTCACAAATGCATTTTTTTTCATGAAACACAAAGGTAGGCATAGTTTTTTTTAATTACACATAAAACAATTAATCAAACAACAATAAAAAAACAATTAGCTCTGAGCTCCAGCGATTTGCGCTTAACGTTATAGAGGGCAATAAATTAATCAGATCAAAGAGAGGGTCATTTGCCTCAGGCTCCTTAGGCTTGAAACGCTGTAACGTTCAGCCTTCTCCTGCCTTGGTTGTCTGGACAGCTGCGTAAAACTCGCGCAGGGTCTCATTCAGGGGTGCGTTTCCCGAAAGCATCGTTATCCAACTATGGTCGCGAGTTACGTCGTTACCAATAGAGTCCAATGGAGCAGAGCAGCAGCGGTGTAATTTTCTCCGTTTTATTTACATTTTTTCTTTCTTCAGCAGCATACCAGTCGTCAAAGTTGCCATATTCTCCATAAATGTTAAAAGAAATAGCACGAAGTCGCTCATTGTTGTATTAGGCTATAATATCTAACGTTAGATGATAGAGCATGTGACTGCCTGTTGCTATGGTTACTCACAGCTGTTGTAGGCAGCGCATTTATTTATTAATTTCGAATGGTAAACAGGCAGTTTCACCAGAACTACTTTACTAGGTGTCCTCTATCACTTTTTAACGGACACCCTGCAGCCAATCAGAATCGAGTATTCACCCAGACCATGGTATAATATCAGTTATCGGACATACAAATAATTGGCATTGCTTATTAAAAACAATATTAGTTGATATCTAATGAACTTAAACACCAAGACAAGTGTGATCTAATCAAAACCAGCTCACTATTAAAGGGGTGATGAACTGAGAAATCAAATTTTCCTTGAGCTTTTGACATCTAAGAGGTCATCATATTATAAGAATATCCTGTAAGTTTCAGAACTGAAAACGTCCTTGTTAGTCCAATAAAAGCTTTTATTGACACCAGGCTCAGCAAACGACTTGTTTTTCAAAGTGGGGAACCATGACGTCAAAGAGGATAAAACACCACCCCCACAGAAGAAGATCAACGCCTACTTCAACACGGCCGGTTTAGCCCCGCCCACCCATTTGTGCATTAAACGCATAGCTAAATGACATAGATTCCTACCTTGTGATGACAAACCGGATCGAGCTACCGAGCAATAAATATGCACTGACGAGTGAAACTCATTATAATATGCAAAACTGTTATCCACTCACAGCAGTAGGCGTTTACTTCCAAGTTTTCAATGCGAGACGCCCATAAAAACCGAGCGTTTTTGAGCTAGGCTCAAAACTAGGGTAGACAATAGCCTATTACTTATTCATTTTGATGTTTTTTAATGTAAAAACCAAGCGAACGTCATAAGTTGACCTCCTAAGATTTAAAAAGGCAGTTCATGACCCCTTTAATGCCTATAGTTTTGAAGTAAAATACTCGACAGGTGTTTGTTCGTCTACATCCTTTTTGCCCATATTACATACTAGCTTGTCAGTCTCACTTATTGAATGTTACTGCTTCCAGGGGCCCTCCTGTTGACCACTGGGCACTTGTTAGCGGCCTCCCCACCTATGTGGCTGAGAACGGCTTTGTAAGTCCAAAGCATTTTCTTTAACAAAATCAATAACTATGCAGCTATGAAGGTACATTATCCTAAAGCCATGTTTGATAATGTTAGTGTGGTTGGAAATGGATAAGCCTCAGGGCTAGATTGATTTTTCACCATTGTGCCCTTATAACCACGTTAAATCACCACTTAACTTAAGTTAAATACTTAATGGGTTAAACTTACCACCTTCTTGCCTATGTTGATGGGGGAAATCTTGTTTTATTTCTCTTTCTGCAGATTTGCAACATGATGAATGTTGCTGCTGACGATTACTTCACCTTCCAGGTACTGTAAGCCATCCCAGGATAAATCCCTCTCAGAGCTCATATTATTCCTAATCCACACCTAAAATAGACACAAACCTGTTACCTTCGAAATAGATTTAACCTGAGCTCGAATACACGTTATTTTGCTTAGTTTATCAGCAAGCCAAGGTGGCTGTAAGTATTTTTTCTAATGATCACACTGTTTACAAACCTGTTTTAATTGGACAACTTTTCAGAAAGAAGCTGTGGACGAAACGGGCTTCGTCATCAAAAACGTCTTGTCCCTTCCCATTGTCAACAAGAAAGAAGAAATTGTGGGTATTGCCACTTTCTTCAACCGAAAAGATGGCAAGCCATTCGACGAGCAGGATGAACAAATTACTGAAGTGAGTCGTTAGATGCTCACCATCCTTTTGACTCCATGAATCTTGTGCAGCAACACTAAAGTCTGTTTTTGGACTTTGTTTCAGGCCCTGACACAGTTCTTAGGATGGTCTGTACTGAATTGTGACACATATGACAGACTGAACCGGATGGAGTGGAAAAAAGATATTGCACAGGAAATGGTCATGTACCAGACCAAAGCCACTCCAGTTGAAGTCCAACAGATTCTGGTGAGGCATCATACTTAACTGTAAGAAACTGAAATCTGTTTTATTGTGTTGACTAAACACGTTTTTTTGTCTTGTTAGAACACGAAGGAGAAGTTTGACCAAGAACCTGAGGACTGCGATCAGAAAGAAATGTACAAACTCTTGGTAAGGTCCCCCCCTCTGAACCAATATACTCCTAGTGAACATACACTCTAAAAAATGCTGGGTTGTTTAAACCCAAAGTTGGGTCAAATATGGACAAACCCAACTCTTGGGTTAAAAAATGTAAATATAAGACTTAACCCAATGGTTGGGTTTGTCCATATTTGACCCAACATTATTGATCTGATGTTCAATGATATGTCTGATTTTTAATGCATCTACCTGTATTTCAACACACAGAGATCCACCATTCCAGAGGCCAAAGATGTTGATCTCCTATTATTTAGTTTTAGTGACTTTCCTCTCTCTGAGGTTGACCTCATCAAGTGTGGCATTCGTTGTTTTTTTGAACTTGGAGTGGTGGAGAAGTTCAAAGTGCCAGCAGAGGTGAGACTGGACTTTACAAGCATTCCCACATTGCCTTTGAGCACGCAAAATTTCAGCGGACACTGCAACAGTTTTTTTTAACCTTCAAATGGTCTTCGTTTCCTGTTTACACTACTGGGCTTCGGGGTCTACATGACCCCAACAATTGATTGAGTAATTGTACAAAAAATATACATTTTTAATCATACAACTAATATATATAAATATTTTTTTGTTTACTTCTCATCTATTCATTAATGCTGTGTTTTTGGAGAAATAAAGTACTTTTGTATCCATATACCACACAATTCCTCAACTACACCATTGCCTTGCATTTGAAATATTATTTTTGTATGATACATTTATGCTCTAGTACTGTAAAAAAAATTCAGATTTATGCCGGATTTTTTTTTTTTTTTTGACACATGAAGAAATTTTTTTTTTAAATGTATATATATATATATATATATATATATATTTTTTTTTTCATTATATTGTGGGGTCATATTGACCCCGATGACCAGAAGTGTAATTTTTTTTTTTACATACCTTCAGAACAACCGAATCAAGCCCAGTTTTTGTACGTGTGTATAGATATATAATGTATGAAAAGTCACAAAATCTTATTCCACTGAAATGAAGGGAACCTTTTTTTATTAAGTAAAACGATTGGGGTCGTAGAGACCCCATGACCCGATTGAGGGCTACAAACATAAATTCAACATATAGCAAATAGTAAATCCTAAATGAAAACCTTCACATTCTACTCCACTTTCCCGCAATGCAGCAGATTTGAAGTTTGTGCGACTTCATTTCAGGAAAGAGGTCAAGCCGTGACTTATCATAATTTTTTTGGTCTACCAAACTTAAACTTTGCAATATGTGACACTTCTTCGCGAGCTTGCTCTTGCTGTCTCCAGCATTCATATGCGTATAAATTGAAGTGAATGGAATGAAAAGGATTGTGTGAAATCTGATTTTCCAAGTTGCAAATCAAACTCAAAATGTCCAGAAATCAAAATGTCCACCTTTCACAAAGTTTTACATATTCCTCAGCCATTGCAAAAATCTGGACCTGGCCTGAACTTAATACAAATTTGTGAAATCAATAGCATGGCATGTTCCTTCACTTTTGAGATGAAACTTTTTTGGACTTAAATGCCGTCTTACACCAGGTCCTAACCAGATGGATGTACACCGTACGAAAGGGCTACAGAGATATCACCTACCACAACTGGAGGCATGGCTTTAATGTGGGCCAGACCATGTTCTGTCTCCTGCAAGTGAGTTTTTTAGTCCACACATCATGTTATTTACCATTAAAGAGGTCAAAATATGAAATATTTTTTTTTGCTTGGCCAACAGACCGGCAAGCTGAGAAGATACTACACAGACCTTGATGCCTTTGCGATGGTAGCGGCTGCATTCTGTCACGATATTGACCACAGGGGTACCAACAATCTCTACCAGACAAAGTAATTTAATATATATATCATTTTTACTCGCACTACTTTCCAATAAAGCAAGGAAGACCTTTTGCTCACAATCCATTTCCAATGTAGGAGCGGATCACCTCTGGCCAAGCTTCACGGCTCCTCCATCTTAGAAAGGCACCATCTTGAATACAGCAAGACGCTGATGGCAGAAGAGGTTTGTTAGGATAAAAAGCACAAGTGTTCCAGAGTTTAATGCTATAACCAGGACCAACGTTGTTTTTCCTCTTTTACAGAATGTTAATATTTTCCAAAGTCTGCAGAAACGCCAGTTCGAGACAGTCCAGCACTTGCACGATGTCTGCATCATTGCGACTGACTTGGCCTTGTATTTCAAGTAAGCGTTCAAGAGCATATCTTCACGTCAAGTAGAGCCACTCCTGAAGATGTCATACTGATGATGGTCTTGTTTCGTTCCCCAACACAGAAAAAGAACAATGTTCCAGAAGATTGTTGATGCCACCGAACCAATGACTGATGAGAAGGAAGCGGTCGCCTATGTGGCCAACAACCCCATTAGGAAGGAAATCATTATGTAAGCGTCACTTCTCATTGAAACCCTGCTACTTGAGGAAATATTGAATTGAGCGTTTGAAGACGTGTTGTTTGATTCCAAACAGGGCAATGATGATGACCGGTTGTGACTTGTCTGCCATTACCAAGCCATGGGAGGTCCAAAGCAAAGTATGTGCAACTTTGGTTATTCGTGGTCAGGATTATCCAGTCCATGGGTTATTGTGAACTAATGGCCCTTTTTTTTTCTTCTGAAGGTGGCTCTCATGGTGGCAGCTGAATTCTGGGAGCAGGGAGATCTGGAAAGAACTGTGCTAGATCAACAACCCATTGTGAGATTGTGAAGATCAATTTCACCTAGTTTTGCTTTTCAATTGGTTGCATTATAAGAAAACTAGTGCCCGAATGAGAATACATTTCTTTTGAATCTCTTCTCAGCCCATGATGGACAGGAACAAGTCAGATGAACTTCCGAAGATGCAGTGTGGTTTCATTGACTTTGTGTGCGCATTTGTGTACAAGGTAAATCCATCAAACTGTCAAGCTGGAATCAATTTTACTTTTGCAAAAATGGGACAACTGTCCATAATGACCTTTCCTGGAATGTCAGCGCAACTTTGCTAGAACGTTCTGACAGGGAATGATGTATCGGCAGGGCTTGTGAATGCTTGCAATAACAGGCCTTTTTCTCATTCAGGAATTTTCAAGGTTCCACAAAGAGATCACTCCCATGTTTGATGGCCTGAACAACAACAGGGTCCACTGGAAGGAACTGGCTGATGTTTGGCAAGCAAAGGTGGACGCTTTGGAGAACGAACGAAAGCGACTAGAAGAGGAGCAAGCTAAAAAGGGTGCGTTGTTCTTTTATAGACAAGAATTGTAGATAAATGAGAGGAAATGATAAGGGAACTGGATCAGAAACTGGAAAGAATTAATTTCTAGGATAAAGCTTGTTGTGATTTTGGACTTTTGCTTTCATCTGCATCAAATTCAACAATTCGTCCAACCAGGCTAAGGTTGAAAGCATGTGTATGTGGGGTATCTTGTGCTAATCATAGCCTTGGGGGACCGAACGTACATGACATAACTTGTTACACCACCAACTACTTCATTTCTCTTGTTGTTCTTCACTGCAGCTGGAGGTGATGAAGGAGGTGGAGAGGGAGGAAAGTCCAAAACCTGCACCATATTTTAAACGTCATCCGCCAGAAATTCAGAGCCACAGAGAAGTCTGGGCCAGCTGGCGATCATGTAGAGGGAGGTGAAATGTGCTCCTAGGATCACTACATTTTCACCAGTTTCCTCCATTTTCTGTCTCATTTCCCTGGACGTACCTTCTCCAAGTGAACACGTAGGCATTCGCCAGAAATGGAAGTACTGTACCTGTCAGGTTCTCTTTCTGATGGGGTGCCAGCCTAGAGCACCAGCTAATTTTCATCATATAGACAATTTCATGCTTTTTCCTAACCGTTGATTTCACCTTGACTGTACCTTTTAACGTCTCACTACACTGGAGGAAGTAATGCCACGCAACGGTGGCCGAAACACAACTCTATACATGCGTCGAATGTGTAGTAGTTCACAGAGCTTACCTGGAGTATACGGCTTTTGAGTCCATAAAAGATTTGTCATCATGAAGTAGAGCAATAAATGTTAATAACTTTCTTGACAGTAACTAATTGATCAAAATAGCATAATTCTCGAATGATTCCAGAATCGTGTGGTGTTTAGCTTCTCTGTAAAATGATCATCGAAGCTTCCAATTTGACTGGATTCACTCCCATTTAAAGGTGAAGTGTGTAATTTTCCTGAGCGCGAACCCATCTGTAATTGGTCAAACAAACAGATAGCCCCACCCCCAAACAAACGCCATTGGTGTTGCCAGGCTGTTTATTGTTTTGATAGCACCTTTTTTTGGGGGGATGAAATTAACTTACTAATGACTTGCTTATAGCTCTCTATGCCTACTAAACAGGAGAGAACGGATTTTAACATCCCATAAAACTACACACTTCACCTTTAAACTACCAAAAAGCATTTTAATACATGGCAGTTGCTTTGTTTAGAGTTGAAGGACCAACTCATTTGAAGAAGAGCTTTTAGAAACTGTGGCCGAAGGCTTATTAGCAAGGGATTTGTAAAATGCATCTCATGCTACAAGTCACTCTGACAATGAGTTGTTCTTGTTCAAGGGGCGATGGCACTGCTAATGCTAAACATCTTGTGCAGCGTTAACCACTTGTTGCGGTTGTGTTTGGATGGATATGAGACAGGACGTTTGGATTCTTAAAAGATACACTTTTCTACTTTTTTTTTTTTTTGTTCTTTAAGGAAGATTAAGCTGAGAAGGTGAAATGGTCTAATTCAGTGTCAATGGATTATGTGTTCAGGAACATTCCAGCTGTGAAGAAACATTTATGACCAGAACTTTGATGTTTGTTCTTTATTCATTTAATGATACCTAAGCATTGCACATAGTTTTCAACCTATTATCGAAAGTATAACATTGAGTGTATTACATAGAATATCAATTGATAACATAGAGGTATTTGTTTATACCAAACGTTTAAATTACTTTTAAGGGGTATTCTATGGAGGTACAAAATGTCAGGGAATATTAAAAAAAAAAAAAAAAAAAAGTCATGCTGTGACAAGGCAAGAGGGAACGGTCAGTTCTTGAACATGTGTAAACCTATAAGGAGATTTGAAGAGAGTTTGATGGGGGAGCAGCTCGTGAGATTCACTCAGATTTAATCTTTAAATACCATGCTTATTTAAAGCAGACTGCTGAAGCCTCTAGATATCTCCTCTGGCAGAAGGCACTTACCCAGTCCGTAAGGTCAAAGTCTCCTTTTTCTGATCTTGTGAGAATCAGCAGTAGCATATAAACAAACAGTTTATTTCAGGTAGCTGCACTCTGATATCGCCTGATGTCTAAACACCTCATTCTGCTTTAGGAAATATACTAGGCCCCGATTTGACCAACCAAATAAGTGTATATAGCCTATATAAAATGACCACTGATGAGATTTAGTAAATGTACCAACACATACGATTTTTATGCAACATCTGCTTGTTAGAAAAATCTAGAGGGTTTGACATTTAAATGCAGTTAGTAGTTCCAGTGTAGTCAAACTGTCATGGCCCCTGTTATTGGATTAAAGACCTTAAAGGGATAGTTCACCTAAAAATGTTGTCATCAACATGTTGTTACACACCTGTATGAGTTTCTTTCTTCCGTTGAAAAGTATTGGTAACCACAGTTGATGGAAGCCATTGACTTCCATTGCATGAAAAAACCCAATGGACGTTGATGGCTATCGACAACTGTTTGGTTTCCAACATTCGTTAACATATCTTCTCTTGTGTTCAACAGAAGAAAGAAACGTTACAACATGAGGGTGAGTAAATTATGCTAAAATGTTCGTTTTTAGGTGAACTATCCCTTTAAGGCATTTAATCCAATAACGGGCCATGGCAGTTTAACTACACCGGAACTACTAACTGCATTTAAATGTCAAACCCTCTAAATCCAGATCAGATGGTAGAGGCCAAAAGTGAGCAAATCTCATCTCAGGTTTAAGGTTTGTACACTTTGTTAGGCTTGTGTATAATAATATACTGCATCTTTTGGAGTGAGCATGGAACTGATATTCTCTTATTTATTGAATACTACCACACATATAAGATACTGTAAATGATGTTGTGAACAAATAAAACCATTATTCAGAGCTTTCTGGAGTAGTCTTTGACCACATCTGCTGTTAGGTGACCGCACAGTCCAGTCAGGTTGCTTAGAGGGCATGTCAGGAAGCTCTCATGACTTTTCTATCATGCAGTGGATTATCTTATAAAGCTGGATCATCCCCAGGTAAAGAGGCTCAGGTGATTGGCTGACAGCCGAGACAAACGACTTTTCTCTTTCAGAGGATCTTATTATAAATATAACTTTTACAATTACACCTCAATTATCATTTTAGGTTTTGAGGAAATCCAGAAATGCAACAAAAGCCCAATCGCAAGGGCATCTGTCTATATGGAAGAATAATAGACACGGATCTCATTGAACAAAAGGTTTTCTGCCCCTACCTGCCTGATTCTTCACATTGATTGGCTGGCAGCCACCGTCAGGTAAGCTGAGGCCTGGGACAGTTTGACAGTCTAGCCCGTGACCACGTGAGCTTGTGCAGAGAGTTTGATGTGAGGTATAAAATAGAAATCCTGTCTATTTCAGAAAGTCAGTGGTTGATGCTTATGCGTTGGTGAACCGACCGAGAAAACAGCACATCAGTCACAGTCAGCCATTGTGTCAACATTTAACGGGTCAGATAATATAAACACTTGATATTTATATACTCTTTATATATATATATATGTAAAGAGAGAGAGTTTACATTGAAATTAATTCTAGTAATGTTTTTTAAATAAGGCCTGATGTGTTACAAACGCATGTATAAAATTCTTCATATACAATTTCAACTTAAATGAGGACCAGTGAAAATTATGTAAAAAAAAAAAAAGATTTAATTATAACAATCAGTGAATTTTAATCAAACCACATACTTCTAAAAAAAAAAGCTAAATGAATCTGTATATAAAGAAAAGCATAGGAATGAGATTCTTTTGGATCCTCCTTTCGTAATCTCAGAGAAACATGTCTTCAAAATACTCATCAAACTCTTCCTCCCTGAAAGAGAATCAGACACACCAGGTTTGTCAGTGCACCGTTTTAGAAAGATTTACAGACACACTCCCCACATTCGTGTTTGTGTAGAGTAAAATACATCATAATGTCGTTACGCACCGTGATTTCTCCTCCACAGTGGGAGCTGGACCTCTCCAGTGCTCTGATTCTGAAGGACCCTCTTCTTCTTCATCCTCACTTTCTGCGTTTGGAAAATACATCACATTAGACTCATATCAGGATTTTTGCCTGATAAAATTACTGTGGTAAAAGATATTACTGTACATTATGATATATAATAAAAGCTGACCAATCAGGTTGTGAACACACCGTTAGAGGTCTGAACATATTTATTAGGGTGTACCGAGTACATTCTCTACCTGAGGGCCAATCATCATTGTTGGGGGAATGAGGGGCAAGCATACCTTTATCTGACTCCTGAGACTCCTCTGAACTTGAAGATGAGTATTCTGTAAAGAAAAGTGTTTTTTATGTTTGTTTTTAAATAACTTTTGCAAATATAAAACCTAGAATTTAAACCAAGTGTTGATTTGGGAGTGACCAAAAATAGACGGCAAATGGGCCTAATCTGCTTTAGGAAAGGAACACTTGTGTCAAAATGCTTTAAATCATAATCCATGACATGTATGTTCTCTTTTAAAGACTGCAAATCACCGCCCCAAAAAAATCTGTTAAAGTTAAGCAAAGGTATGCAGTTGATTCCTGCTCAAACAAGCTTGGAATCTTAGAAATGTCTGGAGGCTTGATCTGCAAAGAAATCATGCTTGCCTTTGCGCCTCTTTTTGTGTTTGCGCTTGTCTTTGCGCTTGTTCTTTCTGGAGTGGGGCGATTTGGATTTCTTTGAGAGTGGCTTGTTCACGTTCTCTTTCGATCGCCGTCTCTTCTTCCCTGTTACTTCTTTTCTCCTGGAACAGAGTTTAAGCGTTTCCAGCCAGCCCGATGATATCTGAACATTCAATTGTGTTTGTAATGGTGGAATGTACTTACTTGTGATGATAGTTGAGTTTGAATGAACACTCTGGACACAGACCTTGAAAACAATGTGACGATATCAAAATTAAACAGTGAATGCAACATTAAAGGGATAGTTCACTTTGAAATTAATTTTTGATATGTTTTAGCTTACCTCGAGGGCATCCAAGATGTAGGTGTCTTTGTTTCCACAGCATTTTCAATTTTGACATTTTTTGGTATTATTTAACGTTAGACGATATATATAAATATGTTTAGTGAAAGGCAAAACTTCCGAAATCTCTGTGTAAACAATGCGTGACGGGAGATCACTTCCGGCGTAACGTCTGGGGACGGTTCAGTTCGGTTCAGTTGGATATCTGATTCAGAAAAGTTCGACGGCTGTTAACAAGAGGTAAAAACTATATAAATAATGTTCATTTTCTCACACAGACCGCTCGTTTCGTGTCTTAGGCCATCAGTGTGTTCTTACATTCACAAATCATTAAATCATGTTTAATTTTGACTTCTCTGTGAATGCTCTTTTAGGTGGACCCACTAAAACTGGATTATAGGACTGACAGACAACAACGGCTTGACCAAAACATATGAAAATTGAAAATGCTGTGGAAACAAAGACACCTACATCTTGGATGCCCTTGAGGTAAGCTAAAACATATCAAAAATTAATTTCAAAGTGAACTATCCCTTTAACAGTGTCTTAATGTCCATTGGGGGAAAAAATAAAGCAGAGTAAACTATTTACAGCAGGGTTCCATTATTTTCATTTCACATTTTCTCAGTTTTTTTAATTGTTGACTGTTGTATCACCGATTTGAGCAAGAATTAAAGTGCTGTTTCGGTGGTAACGCAACGTCCAATAAATTTCACAACAAGTTTCAAAGGATACATTTTGAGTGTTTAAGCTTTCCAATGATAGCTAATACGAAATATAAATAAGGAACTCTTAATAGATTTCCCTGGTTCCAGCGTCGCTACTTCATGGCTCCATGACTTCTGGACCCACTTCGGCTTTTATACCATTGATTGGACAAACAAAATCGACAAAGAGTATGCGATATACAAGAACTGTCTGGTAAAAGTAAAGTGCACTGGTAATACCACGAACATGCAAAGCCACTTGCATCGCCATCACTAATTTACAGACTGAAAAACTTTTAGTGCTGTTTTCTAACACTTTGGACTAAAGAGAGAAAACCTGCACCTTGCATTTTGTTGTCATAGTTAGACACTACAGATATCGTGATGTGTCATCATAGGATTGTCTAGCAATATATTGATTATCGCAGAATTGATGTATTATCTGTATCTGGAGCCATGTATTGTGTATCGTATCATGAGGATGATTACTAAATGTGATGGGGGAAATGGCAATAAAATCCTACTTGTGGGACTCTGACAGGCTATATGATAATATATTATCAGCATGACAATTTGAGTAAAAGTTGAACTAGAAAAAAATTATGTAGTTCACAACAAAGTAAACTAAATTATAATTTGATTGGTACAGAATTAATATTTTCTAAACATTTCGTATGCTCAATAGCAGTGTTGGGAGTAACGCATTACAAAAGTAATACATTACAGTAACATATTACTTTTTGCTGTAACGCAGTAGTGTAAGGCATTACTAATCAATTTTCAGTAATATTTTACTCGTTACATGTTCAGTGAGGCTTGTATTACAGTTGTATTACAGTGTATTGTCTGCTTTTACTTCTTAAAGGCAACAGACTATGTGAAAGTTTTAAAGCAGTCTTTTAGTGCCAGTTCAGAGCGGTCGCGTCTGTAACATTGTTTTTTCCTCATAATTGCGAACACGAAAACTAAAATAAAATGAATATTTTAAGTTCTATGGAGACTGCAGAGCCAACCCTTCCTCATCCGATTTGCGCAGTGTAATTAACAGAATTACAAAAAATATATTTTGCCTCCTATTTTTTTTTTGTCACGCATGAATGTGTGTCTTTTCCCTAATATTAAAAATAAAACATAGACTGATATTTGTCTAATGTCTGGAGTCCTTTAAGGAAGTAGCCTATATACGTTTCAATACATGTATTTTCTGAGAATTTTTATTTCAAGTTTTGACTGCAAATGTCATGTCCATAATGCTGGACTTCCCCAGTTTTAAATAATTTATCCTCAACTATAGTTTTGTGGTGTAGGTCTACGTATTTTATAATGTTAACTTCAAATAATACTAATAGCCTAATTTTAAGATAAGGTAGCATTGGATCTGGACGGTAAGGAGAATAACGCTGGGAGTTGGAAGAGGTGTGTCGCGATTCTGTAGGTTCGTGGATGTGGCGAATCGCGATTTCGGTTTCATATTGCATATCGTTAGAAGCCCCAAAGTTAAGTTCTACTTCTGTAGTTATTTTGGTGAAAGTAACTCAAAAGTAATACATGAGTAATGTAACGCATTACAATTCTGAGACAGTAATATTGTAAGGTAATGAATTACTTTTAAATAACAGTAACAAGTAATACCTAATGTATTACAGTTTGGAAGTAACTTGCACAACACTGCTCAATAGTATGTATCTTTCTTTTTTTTAAATCAGAATGCTAAAACCTTTTTCCAGGTATAATTTAGATTTAGAAATAAATGTTCATTTTGGTCTCAGACTTTTGGACCCCTATTTGGTATAATATTTCAAAGGCATTTAAATGCACTGTAGACAGTTGAGGATAAGTAGCATTCAACAATAAGCATGCTATGATAACAGTTAAAACAAGGCAGTCTCACAAATAGAGACTTGGGCTTCCCTAAATCCAGGCTGATTAGATTAGCTCTACCCCCGTGTCCTGTGAGCGGAGGGGGATTACAGCATGCAAGGTTTAGACGGCCACGTGGTTTCGCAGCTCGGGCACTCACGCAGTTTCACCAGGGCGTTCCTCTTCTCCTCTTGCTCCACATAGGCAAAATTCACCTCCCAGCTCTTCAGACCCTCCTTACTCTCACAGCGCTTGTTGCCGCAAAAGAACTGGCCTGTGTGATTAAGAATATATCCACATGTGAGTTGCATCGAACATACTGTACATAAGAAATAGAATATAAACTTCAGACCATGATCAATCCCAGTAAATCATACTGTATCATTTTTATTACAAATGTGACTACACTGGCCACAACAGCTGGAGGGTGTCTACACTGGACGCGTGGCAAAAACCATGCATCCGAAATCGAGTTGATACTACACTTGAATTTGAACTTACTTCACGACTGTTAAAGAGTTTGTTTGGTAGCACTTTATTTTACAGTCCTGTTTCGCATGTACATTTGATATACATAATTAAAGGGACACCATGCAGGAATTCCGTTTTTGTCAAACAGCGACCTTGTATTTAACGTTACTGTCGTAAATACCACTCACGCAGAGCGTGACGTGTGACATAGTATACAATAGTACATTGTGTTTAATTTGTTGTTTAATGAGATCTAATATATGTTGTTAGTGGTGAGAATTTTCATTGGATTAATTACATAGATCCAACAGTTATCCCCATGAACTTTAATGGTCTAGTGGCAGAACTTTTTCCAAGCGTGTCAAAAGTTCTGGGTTTTAATCCGCATTAGTAGTGTAGTTTATTTTCCTCATCAAAACTGATTGTTTTTAAATGGTTGTATATCAAGCAGGGACACGTTTATTTGTGCATGAGGTTTTGTGATTTCACCATAACAAATATAGTGAGTCTCTCGTTCTCCGCAACGGATTGAAGCGCGCGTCCGTGTGAAGACTATGCGAGTCACAACAGAACACTGTGGCCATGTCCACACTAATACGTTTTCGTTTGAAAACGTATATTTTTCTCTCCGTTTTGGCCTTCCGTCCACACTAAGACGCAGTTTTAAGTCAATAAAAACGTATCGTTTGGAAAATGCTCTCCAAAGTGGATACATTCGAAAACGCCGTTTTCGCGTTGTAGTGTGGACAGTGAAACCGGAGGTATTTCAAAACGATGACGTAAGTTTAGTCATGTGATCCATGTAGTACTACCAATAGATATTCATGTTTATCGGTATTGCGCCTGTTATGTGTTATTCATTTTTACACTATTGCTAAAATATGTTACTTTCTATGTTACTTAATATGTGCTATTCTTCATAGCACTACAAAGATGACAGATAATGTACTTACATTTGCTGTCTTGCGGCAAAACAGGAGAGCAGTTGCGTTTTAGACCAAACATAGGGTGACTGAATGCGACCTGGGTGCATCAGTGATGTTGAGATATTTTGCTATATAAAATTATCCTGTTATTGTGCGATAACATTATTATCTCAGTGAGCTTTTGTGAAGTTTCACGCATACGCAGTAAAGTGAATTTAGAAGTTTCTCATCCACACTGAATTGTCGGAAAACGGCTGAAAACGCTAGTGTGGACGGAGAGCGTTTTTGAACGAAAACCCAGTTTTCAAATGTATCCGGATTAATGTGGACGTAGCCTGTATCTGCGCCACTGATCGCAGTGGCAACGAGCACTTTGGTCACTTGATTTCAAAAACACATTTCAGATCGCCTCTTATTTAACAAACGAACGAAATGAATGTTCTACTAGAGTTATCTGGAGATGTTTTATTTGTTTGTATTGGTATATCCGTGCCGCGAGATGTTTCAATGGGTAGTTTCCTCTTTCTCTGTTCCTCCGACACTGCTTTCCTATCTTTCTGCATCTTATATGCCAGGTCAGCCATGACGATAGTGTGACAAACTCCATCCCTCTCTACCTTGTTCCTGGATGGGGATGTGTGCAGTGCCGTAAAGGAATATCTTACATCGCGAGAGCTGAAATAACGCGATACTGACTTATTTCAACCCGAAAAAAGTCATATAACCATTTCAATAACTCCGAAGCAGTTCAGTTAAGCTAAAAAAACTGCATAGAATCCCTTTAAAGTAATAATTACAATTACTAAACCTACTCCTTAACCTAACCTTAACCCTGTAGTTACCTTATATAACCCAGTAGTTTCTAAGGGAACTACACTGTAAATTCACATACTGTAAAATAAAGTGCAACCGTATGTTCTAGTATGAATGTAATCCGGACATGCTACACTTACTGTGTTGTCATTATCATGTAACCTAATAGCGTTGCTTCACTGCTATTCATAAATCCTCTTTTGAGGCCTCATGGGATAGTAAAGTGTCCATCACAAGCACACTTCAGAATTTTGTCGGAAGTAGTCTGGGGACTTCTCGTCAGCTGTTTAATTGTATGCTGGCATACTGTTTTTCGCCTACTATACAGTAGGGAAGTATTTGATTTTGAAGTATTTTGTTATCCGGAACAGAAATAGATCTGTAATGTCATGACACATCCAGTGTAGACAGCATCACTGATTATAATGGGTTATATCTGCTCATGTCTGGTTTAGACAGTGTAAGGACTCTTTATCAACATGATCAAATTATGTTATGTTATACTAAAAAAATGGAAGCTGGAGCGCTGCTGGTGTCCCTTGTATCCTCTGGTGCTCTTGGAAGAGTTGAAAGTTCATAAAAATTGGAAAGAAATCCAAGTCCAGACACTCAGGGTTACAAAAGTGAAAAAGGCCTTTATTAAACAATCCATTTGTTTAATCCAATCCGATTGTTTAATAAAGGCCTTTTTCACTTTTGTAACCCTAAGTGCCTGGACTTGGATTTCTTTCCAATTTTTATGTTATGTTATGTTGATACAAATTATCAACATGATCAAAACTTTGCTCAAAACCTGTTGCACACGATCTACTACATGCCTACTGTCGTCTGATTTTACGCACCGTTACTGACAGACAGACAGAGCAAAAGCCACTCTTCTCCCATGACCTTGGCCTGGCATTTCACCTCAGATATCATTGGGCTGACGTTAGCCCCAGAAGGTTTACAAGGGGATCCTCCAGAAAAGTGCGTCATCGGGGAGTTTTTATGACAGGCTTCCCACACCTCGGACAGTGTGCTGCCTGGATTGGCTTTGGCCAGTCGCCCTGAGCCTTACAACACTTCTGTTTGAAAGTGAATTGCTTTAAGGTTTACAACACTCACATTTCTGAGATTGATATTATTAGGTCTTCCAGGTATGTTCGGTATGGAAATCCCTCTCTGTGAATAAGTTTCATTTGTAAATAACTTTTCAGGAAAGAAAAACTCTTATCCTGGAAGTTACCCAGAAACAGGAAGCATGTTTTAGTCATTTCCAGACCAAATGTGTTCAATTTGCACTTGAAAAAGCTATGCAAATTGGCTCTGTTTAGAATGACTACGTCATGTTGCAACTTTGAGAAAGGCTTGAGCTTTGACGTAGCTGGCAGATGATCTCGCGGCAGAGAGACTGACTGAGGTATCATCCTCACGTTGCACATGCAGATTAACCCGTTAATTGATGTCTCAGCCGTATGATGGACCTTACTTCGAGTGGGGGAAAATCTGTACAAAGGAAGAGATATTCCTACAGGTCGAAAATGGCTCACCTATGAAAGCTTGTTTCTGCCACGGAATAAAAAAATAAAAAGCTAATTGTGACTTTTTAATCTCACAATAAAAGAAAGTCAGAACTGCAAGTTATAAACATGCTTTTGGTACTCACCATTTTCCATACTTTCCATGCAGTTTTTCAGACACTTCTCTGCTGATCTACTGGGATTTTCATGCACAACCATTTCTAGGGTTTACAGTTTCTGATCATCCTGACCATGTCTACATCATTAAATGCATTGAGTTGCTCACATGTGATTGGCTGACTAGATTTTTGCATTAACGAGCAGTTAAGATACCTTTCAAATAGAAAGATCATTTTAATATGTCGAATAATAAGAATTTAAAGAGAAAAAAGGGGTTTTAAGGTTGAAAGTTAAGGGTTAATGCGGTGCCTCATTACCCCGTCTCTCTGATGACGTACATGCCGCTGCAACTAAGCTCGTGTGAGCATCACTGAAGCTGTTAAAGCCAGTGAAGCTGACAAACAGCGTCTTTGGAGAAATGACAAAACGCATCAGGGTTAGCCCTCATTAGGAGTCTCAGGGAAGCCCTTATAATGCTAAACTGTGAAATAATGCCCAGCAGATGGGAACTCCTCATGACGAACTCCTGAGAGAACTGTTAGAATGTCCCTCAGCAGCCGAGCAAACAAGCTGGTAGAGATATTAACGAAATGTGCATTGACCTGTATGAGTTTCATATTCTCTAAAGAAAATGCGAGTGGCGTTTACCAATGCAAAACTTGCCACTATGATGCAAGGATGTTGTGGGTGGGTGAGATCTTCAAAAAACTCTCCTCATTCGACACATTATTTGTGTGGGTCCCAGATTTCTCAGCAATTAAATATTCAGCAAAAAATATTTTAAAGCTTGACATTAATTCCAATCCCACTCACTCTAAAAAAAATGTGTTGGTTCAACAACAACAACAACAAAAATTAACGCAAGCGTTTGCATAATTATTTTTTAGTTACGACAACTTCGAAGTAAATTCTGTTCACCAACAAAATATATTGAGTTAGAGGAACTAAATAATTTGAAACAAACACATTTTTTAAGTCGCCCCAGCTACTTGATTTCGTTGCCCTGGAACCAATTGATCTTATCTAAATCCACAGGTCTCATAGCACATGCTAAATGTAACTTATTTAGCATGCACATTTAACAAATAAGTAAGATATTATTCATTGCTTAGAGTCAGTAGTGTTTACCATCATGTATTGTAGTCTATTCTTCAACACAATGGTATAAAATTTCAACATTACAGAAACTCTTTTGTCAAAATGTCAAGCATAACGGCAATAAACATTAAAGAGCCGTTCGTTTCACTAAAAAACAAGCAAATTAATACTTAATTTCAACATTTATTCTCCTTATCCAGTCCTATGCAGAGCATGCTGGGAACTAGAAAATCCACTGCCCAATTTTCCCTAAAGCTATCAAGACCATTTCATTAAAGAGTTAGTTCACCCCAAAATTTTAATGATCCCATAATTTACTCACCCTGCCTCTAGTTGTATATGACTTCCTTCTTTCAGCCAAACAATCAAAGTTATGTTAAAGGGGTCCTATGATACTATTCCACTTTTTCAACTTTAGTTTGCTCGTAATGTTGCTGTTTGAGCATATAAAAAGATCTGCAAGGTTACAAAGCTCAAAGTCCAATCCAAAGGGAGATATTTTATTTAAAGCCGTAGTCTGTAGCTTTTTTGGGTCAAAAAATTGAGAAAATACATAAACAGCCAGTGTTCAATGCTATCTGCTTGCCTCAAAACGGTAAGCTTGTAATAATGTTTTTAATTCCAGTGGTACTGGTGGATTTCCGCGGGAGATTCCAGCATGTCTTTGCATCACATTACGACACATCTGTACACACACATCTTTACACATAAGGGAGGAGTCTCGGCTAGTAGGCTAGCCTATTGAGTGTGAGGATGTTGGAGGTGGAGATTTATAGCCTTTTATTACAGCACTTGATATAATTAAACTTATCAATTTGATGGCAACCCCAAATAGGTTCAGGCATGCAATGCTGACGTTGTTAACATTAACAATTTGAGAACAAAGTATAATTTGCACGGTTTTGCGTGATATGATAACTTATAAGCAACCAGAACAAAAGTGGATGTTTCTTACTTGTTCAGATCACATTTTCCGGTAAAAATGATTATGTTGGTCATACTTCCGAAAAGAATAATCTGTGATTCTGAATGCCAGTATCCACACCGGAGCAGTGACTGACAGCCGCACACTTTCCTCAAACATTGTGTTCATCCACACTGTACCGTGTCGAGGGTGTCGAAGTACAACTCACGTAAAGTTGATAATTCCGCAAATGACTGAAATTGCAGATTTCGAACAGAGATGGCGACAAAGAGGAAAAACGCTGGACTGCAGCTTTAAAGCAACACTTTGGAATTTTTGGCCACTAGAGGCGCTCGACCTGTAACTTTCACGTCTAGCGTCCCTCCGCAGCACTGTCGCAAATTCAACAAACAGTCAACCGGTCAGCCTCCCGTGTCTTTAGATTGTGTGTGCTTGCAGTGTTTGAGGCGGGCCGGGCAGCCTTGCCACGCTCGATTCCCTTATAGCAGAGAGAGCGAGCGGGGTGAGCCCTGTGGGGCTTATCATCATGTCTGTGAGTCAATGTGGGCGCGGGACAGCGGGCACATTCACTGCACTGAAAACACCGTCGGCCTGAGCTGACTGTAACGTTGGTGTTGGTTTATTTTTACAGAAACCGTGGGACATGTGGTGTGTAATGTTAGTGTTTGTGGGTACTACTGAGTCGTGGGCACGTTCACTACATTTAATGTAACGTTATATTTGACATGAGTCGATTTTATTTGTGCGAGCCCTGCACTGAGGCAGGCTGTGTTTGGTTGTAGAAATGAACACTGGTCTGTGGGCATTTTATTAACACCATCGGCTGTGGCCGGAAACGGCATTTGTGTGCAGGCAAGTGTCCGCATCGGTCGAGCACCCTTCCGCTCACGCCAGTGATCATGCGAAGCGAAAGCTGGACCAATGTTAATCCTCGTCCTGGCTTTTAATTTGTCACTCTCCCCTTTTCTTTTTTTAGTTTCCTCTGATAAAACTGTTGCCTTCATCCTTGTAGCTGTTGTTCGGCCATGACGAAAACATACAGATGGCAATCAAACGCGAGTTGAGCACTCACGTCAGAATCTGAGGAAGTTATGGGTGGTGGGAGAAGTGACGAATGCCGTAAAGCGGTCGAATTTTGTAGTGCTTTTTGTGCTCGGGTTCCTACCCGAAACCTGAAGTTACATAGTGCCAGTAAAACCGATACAGACACCTTCAGGCTACGGCAGACGTGTCATTCAACCTATTGTAAGTCGATGTACCATCTCAATGGGTTTTGGTAATATATTATAAAGGTTAAAAGTGTGGCTTTAACAGAATCCACTTTCCAAGAACTCCCGGAAACGATTTGTTTGGTCTACAACGCGTTTTTTTCTGGGTATTGAAAAATCCTAATGTCATCATAACATAATTTAAATAATCCCCGCCCTCTGAACACACAGAAAAGTGGACCATGCTTTTGTGATCAATTACTGTTTGTATTACCATAGTTTTCCAACAAATATCATGATTAAATAGTGTATTATGTATCTAAAATGTATAAGGAAAAACAACAAAAACCATACCACTCTTTAACCAAGACCCCTTTAAAGAATATCCTGGCTTTTCCAAGCTTTATAATGGGAATGAATGAACTGTTTGAATGAACAGTACCGTTTTTTGAAGCCCAAAAAAGCGCATCCATCCATTATAAAAGTAATCCATACGGCTTCAGGTGTTAATAAAGGCCTTTTGAAGCAAAGTACTGCATTTTTGTAAGAAAAATATCCATTTTATAACTTTATAAACTGTAGTCACTAGCTTCCGGTAACGTCCGTCCGCGCGTTCATGAGAGAGTCGAGTTCTGGCGTATGACGTAGGAAGTAGGGGTAGCTTAAGGCCCCGTCCACACTACTGCGTTTTCGTTTAAAAACGGAGACCTTTTGCTACGTTTGCACCTCCCGTCCACACTAAAACGGGAAAAACGAAGACCTAAAACGGAGAAGTTTAGAAACGCTGCAGCTGGGTTTTGCGTTTTGAATCTCCGGAGGGCGTTTTAGTGTGGACGAGACAAAACGGAGGAGTTTACAAATGATGACGCAGAGGCTCACGCTCGGCTCTATGATTGGGTGTCATCAGTCATGACGTATCTTTCCCTGATTCGCCAACCACTGTTTACACCGGCGCGCGCATGCCCAGTGTTGGTGAATGGTCACGTTATCCACGTTTTCAGTCGTTTTAGTGTGGACGGAGATAAATTCTAATACGCAGGTAAAACGCTGGTGTGGACGGAGATCGTTTTCGTTTTAATTCTCCGTTTTTAAACGAAAACGCAGTAGTGTGGACGGGGCCTAAGATTAGGTGAGAGTAGACGCCTATCGTGGTTAAAACACATAGGACTGAGCAACAAACTCAAGCTCCTCTGACATTTCACTTTAAAAATTCTCATTTTAGACTTTAATTCATGACTGGTGTTTTGTTTTGCTCTATCCTCTGTGCTTCCACGTTTTCCAATACATCATGCTTTGGGTCAGAGGTCACTCTTCTGCCAGAACTCGACTCGTGTTCAGCCATTACCGGAAGTCAGGTATTGTAGTTTGTAAATATTAAGTAAGTATAATGTAATGTAAGTTGTAAATATGGATTGTTTTTTTCTTCTGAGGCCTTTATTAACTCACTGGAGTCGTATGGATTACTTTAATGAAGGATGGATAAGCTTTTTGAGTTTTAAAAAATGGTACCATTCACTCCCATTATAAAGCTGTATATTTTTTAATATATGCTTTGCTAGTCTCTTACATACAAGCGTGACAGCGTGTGACCATATGATCAATCGTTTAAGGACCTCTGCATGGATCTGTTTTTTTTTGTGTGTGTAATTTTGATGATTGTAACACGTACTTCACCCTTGTTTACCTACTAAGATAACATAACCGTGAACCATGAACCAGAGACAACAAAATCATTGATTTTTGTTATGACACAGGCAAAGGTAACACAACCTTACAATTAGGTCACTGTCATAGAAATTTCTATATGCTAAACAATAATAATCTAATATTAAATTACTCTGGAAAGAAATGTCAATATTATTTTAAAAAAAAAGAAAAAAAAGAAACAAGCTAATTCATGAAGCATCTTCAACATTTACTACTTACTCAAATTAAATAAAAATGTAATCAAATCAAATGTACACTACTATGGAAGTCAATGAGACCAGAAACTGTCTGGTTACTGATATTCTTCTAAATATCAGAAAATCGGCTGAATGGATTCGAAAATGGTAAAACTCAACTGTTTAACTCTGGGGGAGTTGTAAAATGAGCCTATTTCCAAAAAAAGTGGAGTATCCATTTAAAGGGGGAAATAATTGTATTTTTGGTCAAGCCTTTACTATCTGATCAGTTTACTTAAAAGTTGAATAATTTATGTATTATGTAAATTAACTGTGCTTTCTTTTTGCAATTCTGCAACATCTATTTATCAGCACACTAAAGCTGTTTTCAGTCCCAGTCCATCCCTAGTTTGGTCAGGATCATGATCAGGATGAGGATGTTATTTTACACAAGATAAAACTGCATCACCACCTAGTGGCTGAGAACAGTACTGTTTTGATTTTGCTCTGAATTTTAGACAAATTTTGTTCTTTATGCAACCAACCAGGATACTGTACTTCAAGTATGTGAACATATAAATGCTCGGTTTCGCAGAGAAGGCTTGAGCCTAGTCTGAGACTAAAATGCATGGTTTGAGCTGTTTTAACTCAAAAAGCAACTTTCACTGACATTAAAAATGTTAGTTTGATTGTTTTGTCTAAAGATGTACACCAGGATTATTGTTTTCTAAGGCACGTTTATTAAAACTACTTAAATGTCTTAGTTTAACTAAGGCCTAATCCTGGCTTAATCAAAGCCCTGTCTGTGTAACCAGGCCTAAAAGTTTTATATACAAGTATAGAAGTAGAAAAATGTTTTTGAATTACCTTTTCCAGATACTACTTCATTTTCAATGCGCCACCGAAATCCAAACTAGTAACAGAAAATGAAGAAAGAGCATTTAATATACTAAAAGATAACATGCCCAGAAAAGTATTTAACATTATAAACATTGATCGCTGTAGTATCATATTTGATCTGTGAATTTCTAATGCCTCAAAATTATCAACGAGAACAATCTATAGCAACGATTGATAGTTTATACTTTTTTAGCAAGTTAAAGGCTATACAATAAAAAGCCTTTTTATTGTTAGTAATATTTCAAGATGAACACTTACTGGACTGATGCAACTTAGATGTAATTGATTATATTGACAATTATTATTTAGAAAAAATTATTATTTATTTAAAAAATAAAAAAAAAATCATTAATTCAACTCTCAATCATCATTGTATTGTATTATATGTTTTGCCTCCACAATTAAAACTACAGAGCTTTGATCATAAAAGTAAGCATTTAAATATCTTATATCTTAAAACATATCATATGTAAACAACTCATATTTACATGCATTTTATGTAAATATGCAATAGTGTTAAAAAAGCAATCAGAATTTAAATTTCATTTTTTAGATTTTTGGCTATATAAATAACAGCATTAAATTGCATATTTTTGCTTTTAGGCTTCTGAATAAAATTGAGGTTTCTGAGTTGAAGTGTGAGCTTCATACTTTCATTATATCATACTATATGAGCCTGGTGAATCAAATATGATACAAAACATAAAAAACATTGCAGTAATGCAAACTTTTCTGACTTGTATGTCATACACCAGGCTTTACAGGGTCAAAAAAGAAAAGGCTAACCTTATTTTCCTTGTATCTGCTAAGGTCTGCGATACAGTACTCCTTGAACAGCTTATCGTAGTACTTCTTTGCGAGCTCTTGCTCCCTATAAACAGTTCAGAAAATTTGTCACAAACAAATTTTTGAACAACGGTCAAGATTAAAATAAAATAAAAATAGAGATAAGAAGACATTACCATGTCATATTCTCCTCATCCTCTTCTCTCCACAGGAAACGGTGATTCTCTTTCACCACATCCAGATCTGTCTTATCTCTAGACCTGCGTATGGAAACACACACTTCCAATCAGCATCTATCAAAGCAGCTAACCTGAAATAAGTGTGCACTACTTATTTCATTTTAAAAAACTGCAAATGTTCATTAGTTTTCATGAGAGTGACAGTGTTTCTATAAAAGACAGATTAAGTAAATTGCTCACGTGGATCGTCTGAGGTCCTCCATCTTCCCTCCATAATACAGAATGTAGTCGCTGACAAACTTCTTGTGACGTTCAAACTGACAAAATACTGTTAAGAATTTTTTGCCACTCGGAAGAAAAAATATTTATCCTTTTATCCTATCCTATTATAAGGTCAAACTTTCCAAAAAAATCCACTTCCAGGCTCGTTCACACTAAGAACGATAACTATAGTATAGTATTATAGTACAGTATTATAAAGATACAGTTCTAAATATAGTCACACCACCAATATAATGATAGCACTGAGAAACTATATAGTTGAAATCACAAGAAATATTTTTCCAGCTGATGAACGATAAACACACTGACAGCCAATCAGAATCCATCCTGCTTTAATGAGCTCTAAAGTGGCATATGACAAACCCGCAGTGTGTTTATAATAGGTTTTTATAACTAACCCTAACAGAACGATGGAGCAGACGCAAATATCTTTATAGTTACTGTTCTTGGTGTAACTGGGCCTTTATACGATGCATTTTAATCAAAACTTTATTACATAGTTTCATCCGGTCTCTCAGTCCAACAAGATGAAATCATAGGATGTAAAATGAGACAAAGAAATGCAGAGCTTTTCAAAAGCTGCAAATCTGCTTGTGCCACTCGATTTTGTGAAAAACAACCATTGACAGGATACAGCGTTCATTGATATCAGGTGTTGCCGTCTGTTTCTGGCTTCCTCTCTGTCAGGGAAAAAAAAATCAGCAAAATTTATTTCACCATGCAATATACTTTAATATTTTTACTATATACTTTGATATTTTGATGGACAAAAGCAGTACCTGTCCCATTCATGGGCAGCAACATTTTTATGGGGCACCTTGGTGTGTCGACCTTTCTGGAATGGCTTCTGTAACAGCTCATCTTGACCTGCCCTAAAACCAAAAACACAAAGGATGATCAGCACTTAAAATGCTAATTAATTACATTCTTTCTAATTATATTCTGTTATTTTCTGTTGCTTACATGTATAGAAATTCACCAAGGCAAAAATACAGTAAAAAAGAAACAGTAATATTGTGAAATATTATTACATTTTTAAAATAACTGTTTTCTATTGTAATATATTTTACAATGTAATTTATTGTCATCATTACTCCAGTCATCAGTGGCACATGATCCTTCAGAAATCATTCTAACGGTGATTAGCCATTAAGAGGAGTTAATTAAATTTTAAAATATATTTAAAAAGAAAAGCGTTATTTTAAGTAGTAATAATATTTCACTATATTAATGGTTTTACTATATTTTTCATTAAATAATGCAGCATTGGTGAGCAGAAGAGACTTTAAAAAACATAATTTCTACATGATCGACATGCTATGCTGAAAAATATGATACCAAAAAGCATTTTTTGTTAGCGATATTAAACAAAATCTCACCTTTTCTCATCATATTTGGACTGCCCTCCGCCACCATCATCATCACTGAAATCAGAGTCATACCCTCCGCCTCCATGGACCTAAAACATTATCATAGCACAAAAAAGGTACACTGATTACACAAAATGCATAGAATCACCAACAACAGTGTGAAGGTTGCTAACCTGGTATTAAATATTTGTTAATCTGTGAAATGCCAACATGGTGATTTGTATACTAAACAAGAACAGGAGGAAAAGGGAAGATGAGCCAGCTGACCACAGCAAAGATGGAAAGTACTTGTGCTTGATACACTCAGTCAGCTGCCACTGATACACTGAGTCAGCTGCCATGATGCCACTTCAGCACAGCACAGGAAACACAACACCCAGAGTCGACGGCAGCAGGACACAACACGTGAGGGTCAGTTCTGACACTGCCTTTATTATTTGGGTCATAATTCTTGTTCTTATCAGAAATCGGTAAAGATTCAGTGACAGGAAATCCAGAACAATTGGTCTTTCATTCCGAAAAATGCACTGAAGGAGTTGCACTGCAGTGATCAGGACAGGCACTTTACTGTTCTCAAACGGCTGTGTGAAAAATCCATAGAATGCAATAAAGAAACATCTTTATGAGCTTTTCAACAAAGACTGAAAGGAAAATCATTACAATAAACTATTTTGAGCATGATGTATTATCTAACAACAATAATAGTAAATATATGCTTATGAGTAGCATATCAAAATATGCAGTGGCATTTATAAGTTATTTAAAAAAAGACAGTATTATATTATTTATAATAACAATTTCAGTCAATCATGCATTTTTTTTTTACGTTTATTGTTTTCCCCCCACAGTTTGATCTGTATCTTCTCTTTATAAAACATGTTTACTGATAGTTATTATGCTAATAATTGATATTTAGTTTCATTTTGTGTAATAACTGTGTTATACGTTTATGAAAATCATTTGATTTGATTTCAGTTATATGCTATAAGAATTTCCTTTTAATTTTTGGCCATGTAAATAACAACATCCGCAACATATAATATATGCTATATATTAAAGGTACAATATCGTATGTCATGCTTTACGGTTTATTGCGCAAACGAATGTTATGTTTTTCTTCAAGGTAACAAACAGCATTTAATACTTATTATTAGTCGTATTCAATCTACATTTAAAAGCACGTGCATTCCTGTTATTAATACAGGGAATGTGCGATATGAGTAAATATAACCTTTACTTTCACGTCACGCATGACAAGCTCCTACATCAAAGCACTCAAATTAAACAAAATTTTCATATTCCTGTGCATAATTTGTGACTTATAAACTACCTTAACAAGGTCTAGCGCTGGTTTGTCCGAGCCGCTCATCTGTGTTTACATGCCGCTGAACCTTCAACCGGCGCGAAATGATGACGTATAAGCACGTGGTAAAAACAAAGGTATCTTCACAATGCTTGTGTTTTGTTGCGTTTGATGGGAACTATCAAGGTCAATCCCTTTGTCTCAATTTGTGTGAATATTACATTACAATGGAGTCTGAATAGTTTTTTTTATTTATATTAAAACTACAGATCTACACCTGAATGTGTAAAAACCAAAAGTGACAGGATTTTGTAGGCTATTGTTGTTCTTTGTTTCAAAGAGACAATTGTTTACATGAGAAATTGGTGTATTCAGTGACTGGAAATTGGAGGGGGTAAGGGGGCGAAGTGCCATTTTCTCACATGTAGAACAAGTGGTCTTTTATTCAGAAAAATGCTAAAAATGAAAGCACTGAAAGAGTTTCAGTGATCAGGACAGGCATTTTACTGTTCCCAAATGGCTATGTGAAAAATCCATAGAATGTAATAAAGAAACATCTATGGATCAATTTTAAGTCATTATACAGATGCACAAAACATATTTAATAGGTAACCTTATTAAGTCTCTCTCTATCTTATATATTATACACACAGGATTACATTTTATAAAATGAATTTTAAACAGCATTACATAAGCACCTTATATTTATCAATTGTGCATAATAGAAACCTATATTATAATATATAGCCTGCTATTACAATCCTGCTTGAATTAAATACATTTTATTAAATGTAATACTATGAATGCTTAATTAAAGAATAGGCCTAGCAGTATAGTATTTCTTTCTCTGATTGCTTGAGGGGCGCAGGTGCATCTCCCTAAAGTCTCATTAATATTCTCACTATCACTTATTCATGGATTTGGTTCATGCGCATTCACAGTAATAACACCATTGGATAGCAGCTGGTATCATGATGCAAAAGAGGGATTCTCCTAGGATCTGAACGAGCCCGCGTCGTTAAGGGATTTTTCCCCCCACTTTAATTTTGTTAGTGTTGATTTTTTTTTTGTTTACTTCTCTCGGTTATTTAGACAATTTTTTTTTTTTAATTTCCTAATCGGCATGGAACTAAGAGAAATCTGAGTCTGCTCGGATATCTTTCTTATAGCAGAACGAATCGCTTGGATGAGCGCCTGCCACATTGAGACATAGACATTCATCACACGGACACAACTGAGGGGAGTCGACCAGCCAGTCCAGCAGACCAAGACTTATCACCAGCGAAAACAGCACGGCACTCAGGAACACACCGGTACAGAATGGGAAATGCGAACAGGAGCATAAGAGGATACAGTTTTCTGCTGTGGGTCGTCACGGTGCTGGTGTTAGTGGAGAGCAGAAGAGGCAAACTGCCGAGATGCCCCTCTGGATGCACGTGCACCAAAGATAACGCCTTGTGTGACAATGTAAGATCTGTGCCACACAGCTTCCCTCCTGATGTCGTCTCACTGTAAGTACAGTTTACATTCATATTCAAGTGCAGCACTGATTCATTTACAACGATGCAGATACAAGTCGTTTGCATATCATCTGAACCTTTGTATGTATAATCTTTGTCCTGCTCACACAGTTCTTGATTCTTTTCCTAACAGATCATTTGTGAAGTCTGGATTCACTGAGATTGCAGGGGGAAGCTTTCTCCACACTCCATCCCTTCAGCTTCTGTGAGTTTCTCTTATAGTGTCAAGTTGTTGTTGTTGTGAATTCTTTATTAGGATGGGGTGATCACCATGTTAAGTGGTCCAATGTTTGTTCTAAGCAATTACAGCCCGCCCCCCGTTTTGGGGACATTCTTCAGCGTGTCTAATTTCTCAAAGCCTTTAAATTGCTGTGAATATTATGCAATGCAGCTGCTCTGTAAGGGGCATGGCCCTGTCCTCGTGAAAAGCAAATAAGAAAATCTCGCTCTTCTAATATCACACAACCCACAACCTTAGAAATGAACATCGGAAAAGGCTTGAAGGCAGCAAGTAATGCGTTTCTATGTAAATGTATACTCACACAAAAGAAAATGCTAATCTGACTGCTGGATTTGGCACTATTATGCAAAATATGACCAGTCTTTTATCTTTTACACCCTGTGTTTGGTCTTATTGGAAATACCAGTCTTTGGTTGGGTATCATTTCATATGCTAGCTAGACGAAGTTTCAGCAATATGATTAAAAACAGAAAGGTATGCACGGAGAAAAAGAATGCTCTTGTTATTTTGTCTTCCTCCGGATGGAACTTATTGTCATGTACACATGGACTATTTGTGTTTATAAATATTTTGATGGTGTTGTTATTGTGTTATGAAATGCCATTGCTTTAATATGCAGCGATTCAAACTCTGAAATCATTGAAACTGTTTTGTGTGTTCCATGATTTCCTAGATTGTTCACAGCCAATTCTTTCGACTTCATCGACGAAGATGCTTTCCAAGGCCTGCCACATCTGGAATATCTGTGAGTTTGATTTATTGTGTTCGAAACTCTCATCATTCAATCATTTTAGATTATCGCTCCTATTTACTATAAATGCAACACTCTTTTTCAGATTTATTGAAAACAACAAAATTGAGTCGATTTCACCCCATGCCTTTAGAGGATTGAAATCTCTCATCCACCTGTGAGTATATTAAAAGTTTTTATTATATATATTAGTATATGCATGTATTTTATTAAAATAAGTCTCTTCTGCTCACCAAGGATTCATTTATTTGATCCAAAATACAGTAAAAACTGTACTGTAATATTGTAAAATATTATTACAATTTAAATAACTGTTTTCCATTTGAATATATCATGATTTCTGATGAATCATGTGACACTGAAGATCGGAGCAACAATGATGGAAATTCTGCTTTACGTCATAGCAATAAATTACATTTTAAAATATGTTCAAAAAGAAAACAATTTAATAATTTTAAAATATTACAGTTTATACTGTATTTTGTATCAAATAAAAGCAGAGTTCGTAATAGTGTAATCCTATTATGTTCTCTTTTGTTAACATGAATTAAAGGAGTAATTCACTTTAAAAAAAAGTTTTGCTGATAATTTACTCACCCCCATGTCATCCAAGATGTTCATGTCTTTCTTTCTTCAGTTGAAAATAAACTACGTTTTTTGGTGAAAACATTTCAGGACTTTTCTTCATATAATGCACTTCAGTGGGAACCAAACGGTTCAAGGTCCAAAAGACTGTTCAAAAGGCTTTAAACGATTCCAAATCTTCAAACCGAGTCAATTCGTTCATTTTGTTCGTTTAATGAACCAAATGATTCAAAAAAAGATTTGTTGATTTTGATGAACGAGTCCGAACAAGAGAGTCACAAACGCACATCACAGAACAGAGCAAGGTGAATATTTGAGCTTATAAAACTTAAGCTTTGTTATTTATTTTTTAAATGGCCGATCGTGTCGCTTGTTAAGACCCTTATTCATCGTCTGAAATCGTTTAAAGCCCTTTGAACAGTTTGCAGTTTGCTCTGAAACTGTCTTTTGGACCTTGAACCGTTTGGTTCCCATTGAAGCCCATAATATGGAGAAAAATCCTAGAATGTTTTCTTCAAAAACCTTAATTTCTTTTCGACTGAAGAAAGAATGACACTGACATCTTGATGAGTAAATTATCAGCAAAAGTTTTTTTTTAAAAGTGAACTACTCCTTAAAAGCTCAATTAACATAATAATGTTCACGTTAGTTCACAGTGCGTTAACTAATGACTAATACAACTTTTGATCTTAAAAATATATACTAATAAATGTTCATATTAAAAATGAAGTAAGATTAATACGTGCTGTTAACAAATGTTTTTGTTTGTTAGGAGTCTTGCCTACAATAATCTTGAGACGTTGCCCAAAGATATTTTCAAAGGAATGGATGCCTTAACAAAAGTGTATGTATTTTACCACTCAAGTCCATCATTCTTACAACACAGTATACTAGAAAAAAAGGTGATTTGAATTGTCATCTGTAAATCCATTGAGCAGGGATCTCAGAGGAAACATGTTCAGTTGTGACTGTAAATTGAAGTGGCTGGTGGAATGGATGCACAGCACTAATGCAACGGTGGATCAGCTACACTGCAGTGGACCTTCAGCCTATCAAGGCAAGAAGATCAATGACCTAGTGCCTCAGTCCTTCGACTGCATCACAGCAGGTAATTTTGCGCTGGACTGTCCACAGTAGATTCTGGCTTTTGAAATATTATAAGCTGATCCCTCATGTCTGCTGAAATGCTTATGGAGATAAATAAAAAGGCATTCACAATTTATTCCCCAGCAATTTTAATTTTCACGAAAGACAGTGAATGTAAAGTTGGCAATGTGTAAGTACAAGAGTATTTTTATATCTTGAAAGCTTCAAATAGTGGCCATTGGTGATTGAGATGTATCTAGAGAGCAGGGTGGCTGATTTTTGCAGTGCAATTTATTGATAACAAGTGAAATGTATGCTAAACTGCTAAATGTTGGGGTTTGGAAGGTTACTTAGGAAATTTAATGGGTTACGGATTACAAGTTACCCCTTTTAACATGTAATAAGTAATATAACTATTTAGTAATGGAGCTGATTACTTTTCTAATTTCTTTTCTAATTTTTATCTCTCGCCATGGTAGCAACTCTTCCAATCAACCAATTAAATCATCAGAATCGCATCGCTTTACTAAACGGCCTTTAAATAGCAGGAGGCATCGTGCACATCAAAAACAGGCAAAACTAGATATGTTGAAATTATTCAACATATCCTAGATTTTACAGAATATATTCAGATGTAACCACATTTTTATTAGTAACTGTAATTTAATTACACATTTTTTCTCAGTAACTGTAACTCTGATTACAGTTACATTTATTTTGTAATTAAATTATGTAACTATGTAACTAGTTACTCCCCAACACTGTAAATTGTAAATAATTATTTCACAAAAACATTGAATGTCAGTTATTATACTGATATAGGTTGATAATCCCAGAATGACCAAATATCATGTGATTAATTGGCCTGGCTAACACATATCAACCATTCACAATACATATTGTTTCAAATCAGTATTAATTACTATATCCTGTAGTATTTATTGC